AGCTTCCTTTCCCATCCACTGACAGTCATCAAATTGCATCATGACTGAGCATATCGGCTTCCTCTGTGGCCTTGTAAAGCTTTCCCACCAGGGGGAAGTGATCAAAAAGTTGACAAGTGAGTCCAAGTCTGATGCAGACCCTACTTCCCTTACTAGAGGACCCGTTTGAAGCCTAAGCTGTATATCTGCTCTATCTTTGAAGGGGGATAAGGTCCAGTTCATGCACAGTGCTTGGTTGATGCTTCAGTCTCAGCAAGCCCCACTGGGCCATGGTTGGTTGGCTCTGTTGGTCTACTTTTGGAGCACTTGTCACCTCCAGGTCCTTTTCTTTTTTCTCCCACTTTTCCCCAAGACTCCCTACACATCATCCACCAATGTTTGGCTGTGAGTCTTGGTATCTGTTTTGAGGCGCTGCTGGGTAGAGCCTCTCAGAGACTCTTTCAGGCTCTTGTCTGCAAGCTTAGCAGAGTATCAGTCATAGTATCAGGGGTTGGCACTCATGACTTAACAAATTAATATCTTTTTAGGGCAATAGAACTCATATCTAATGAATCAGTATTGTTATGGTGGTTAATAGAGAGTCACTCATCTTGTGAATCGTTGCATCCATCCTGAGAATCACTGTCATACACTGGCTAGAACTCACACTCTCAGATCACTCACTTTTTAATTTTTCTTTAAACTCAGAGCCTTGCACATGTTTGAACATGATAGACAAACACTTAGTATTGCACAATATCTCCATCCCTGAGTCCCAGTTTTGGAATGAGACAGAAAAAATCTGAAAGCCTGTATGTATGTGTGTGTGCTTTTATGTGTGGGCATGCGGAGGCCAGAGACTGAGTTGGGTGTTTCTTCTTTCATTCTTTAGCTTATTTTTAGACAGTTATTTCACTAGCTTTGACAAGACTAGCTGACCGGTGTGCTACCGGCACACTCTTATTTCTTCCTCTCCTGCTGTAGGCTTACAGGCCCTTGCCTCCATGCTTCATTTCGTATTTAAGTGCTGGTACTCTGAACTCAGGTTGTCGTTCTCACACAGCAAGCACTTTACAGATTGCGCCATCTTCATAGCACCCAGGGTTGATTTTTAATACCCACCAATCCTTGGCAACATGAGGCCTTACAAGGGCTTTCTTAAAATTCAGCCAGCTTCATTTCTTTGATTTTATTTTTTTAAAAAAAGGTAATAATATTTACAGTGAAAACAAGTAAAAGTGATATTATCTTATCTAGCATAGTATTTGGGGAAAATCGTGTGGTCATTAACTAGAAGTTTTCATGAATCTTTTAGCCATTATTTTAATTTTCTCTTACGTGCATGTGTGTGTGCATGAGTCCATTGTGAGTGTGTGTGTGTGTGTGTATGTGTGTGAGAGAGAGAGAGAGAGAGAGAGAAAGAGAGAGAGAGAGAGAGAGAGAGAGAGAGAGAGAGCAAGAATGGGGGGAAGCACAGTTGTCTGGAGAGGCCATAAGAGGGTGTCAGAAAGCCAGGTTTGGTGGCACATGCCTTTAATCCCAGCACTTTAGGGAGGCAGAGGCAGGTGGATCACTGTGAGTTTAAGGTCAGCCTGGTCTACAAAGGGAGTCCAGGACAGCCAAGGCTACACAGAGAAACCCTGTTTGGAAAACAAACAAACAAACAAACAACAACAACAAAAAACAAAAAACAAAAAAAAAAGAGCATCAGATCCCTTGGAACTGTTGAATTGTCTGATGTGAATGCTGGAAATTGAACTGGAGTTCTTTGCAAGCACAGCATGCACTTTTAACTGCTGAACCATTTCTCCAGTACCAGATTTTGAGAACCTTTTCAACTGATATGTTTCTGTTTCAGTCTATTTGTTGTTACCAAAGAATTTTGCATATGATTATCTTCACTAACTATCTAGAGTGCTTGCTTCCCCTCCTCCTCTTTTTGGCCATATTACAATCCTCTCACATCCTTATTTAGCACTGTGCACACAAACTCACCCAGTGCTTGCCACAGACTTGTTTTTAACCATTGCCTTGAGATAGCTTCTCAATATGAAAAAAGAGCACTGGATTTGAAATCAGGATATCAGAATATTATTTATGGTAGGTAATTTACCTGTCTCTGGGCTTCCTTAACTCCATGTGTGAAATCAAAGAAAAGGTCTTTTTGAGTTTTTTTTTTCTAGTTCAAAAAGTATGTGATTTTATGATTCTGGTTCTTTTTTGAAATGAAGAGTTGTACTTTAGTTAAGTAAATCTTTATAGCTAGATAGAAAGCAGGAGTATGATGGCCCATATTCTCAGTTTGCCCAGAATTCTCTCAATTTTTCACAGAAAACCCTGTGTTCCATGAATCCTCAGTTCTGGAGAAATATCCACATTTGGTCATAGCTCTAGGGGAGTTTGTATAATAAAAGATATTCTTTTTTTTTGCTGTTGTTTTTATGTTAGGGGTAAATCTGGAGTAGAGAAAAATAACTAGACAAAACCATATTATACTAATAAGCCTTCTTCTCTGCATAATATTTATATATTGAGTCAGTTGCTGTGGAGAACCGTCTGTGTGCCAGGTGTTATGCTAAACTATTCTGTCAAGGTTAGACATATAGGTGATTCTGTTTCAGTACCTAAGCTAGACAAGTGTAGGATTAAGTAAGGAAGAGAAATGTAGGGCATAATCCTGAGGAAGGCTCTCCATAGGCCACAAGATGTTATTGTGACAAAACACATTAGACTGTTCAGGAAAAATAATGACTGCTAGTGACATGGACCTTGAAGCTGCTCAGAATCTAGATTCAGTTTGGAAGTGCCTAGGTAAAAAATTTAGCTGTAATGATTTTAAGTAACACATAGTTCATGAATACTCAATTGTCATGGAAACCACAAGGAAATTTGAAAAGTTAGTGTGTCATTAGTTCCAAAGGAAGCAAAATCCTCCAAGACATGGAACAGGTGGTTTAGAAGATGACTTGTAGGGAAAGGTAGGGTTAAGTGAGCTTGGGACCAACCAAGACTATCTATGCAGTTTCTCTGTCTCCATTTTCCTTCTTTTTTAGGGTTGCCCCCACCTACCTTTGTGCTCCCATAGTATTGGCTGGCAGTCACCACTCTTTTAAGGAATTTGACATGCTGTAGTGGAGAAGGAATAGGGGCTGGAGCTCAAAGTAGACCTCCACTACTTCTTAGCTGTGCTGAGATTCTGCTTATTTTTTTTAAAAAGTTAAGATGGGCATGGATCACTCTTTCACCCAGTGATCTAACCCTCCCCAGGGTCTCTCTCTCTCTCTCTCTCTCTCTCTGTGTGTGTGTGTGTGTGTGTGTGTGGTATGTAAAACTAAGTCAAGACATCAACCCCTCATAAGAAAAGTGAAGACATTAGCCGCTCCTGTGGCCACAAAGACATGGTTCTTTTATGGTTTTGCTTTCTCTGTGTAGGAGAGGTGACTCCTAATTACATGTGTTACAACTTGATCCCTGACATCCTGCTCATATGCGATAGTAAGTTGGTAGGCAGGTCTTCTAGGACAAGCTCGGGTGCTGTAGGGAATAAACCATGCATACCCATTTCCAGGGAGGGATAGGTCACCAGTGTGGTCTCCTTACCTGCTTTGGTGCTCTTCTTTGTTTGATCAGCTTCTTAAGTCCAAGAAGTTTCAAAGCTGCTTGTGTCTCTGCCAGAGCTGTCCTTTGTCAGAATTTCTTCCCCCATCACCCCAGAACCCAAGAGTTTTTCCATTTTCTCCAAAGCTCTTATCTCAATGTTTCTACTCCTTATCCTTCCATGCTTTACCGAACCCTAACCCCAAGCTTTATGACTTTCTCCATCACCATCTACCTATACTAAGATCTTCTGACCTATCACTCTGGGAATTCACAGTACTCCACTTAAACCTTAAGCTTTTCCTAAGTCTCTTCCTTCCCTCTCCTTCCCTCTTTCCACCCTGTTTCCATTTTTCATGTCCTCCCCTTTCCCTCCCTCCCTTCTCCATCCTTCCTACCTTTTCCCTCCCTCCTCTCCTCTACCTTCCTCCTTCCTTTCCTCTCTTCCTCCCTCTGAACTTACTGGTCTCTTACTGCTTCCTCAGCTAACTCAATAAATTAACTGAAACACAAGTAACAGTTACCATTGTTTATTGATATTACTGGAAAATTACTTTTATTAAAAAAAACAGAAAATATATGATAAAGTAATCATAATTAGAAAATAATAAAATCAGTCTAACAGCTACACTTCTCAGTATTAGTTTCTAATATCTATTCTCAGGCATATTGTTAGTGTAAATTGTTAGTGTAAATTGTAATTAAAACATCCCCCACATAATGCAGGGTTCAAAGAGGGAGGCATGCAAGGTTGGTGGTGAAAAGCAGCTAAAAGTCGCCAGGTTCAGTCCATTATCCAAGAGGCAGTGTCGTTGTACAGGTAGCCTTAGTTCATAGCCAGGAGTTCAGTGGCAGATTCACAGAGCAGCAAATACTGATGACAGCTGAGGTAACAAAAGCTAGATGGCCAGAAGTCATCAGACCCACCATCTAACCAGCAATTATTTCATCACGCCGTCTTCGATTCCACCTGTGCCTAAAGCAGTTATAATGACAATAACGCGATGGAAAGGACACAGTTCGGGTACTCCACTCAATGTTTGGGTCATGTGTCTCAAGCCAGTGGATTCCAAGAATCAGAGGGTAGCGTGGTGCATGAATAATGTCAAACTGGAGCTCTTCAACGTGGTTTCCAATTTTGACTTCAACAGGTGGTGTTTCTTTGTTTATGGGTCCATTAATTAGTGGACGCCCATCTACTGTTTCGAGCATGAGAGGGAAGATGTTATTGCGGATTGGTATCTTCTCTCTAAGAACCACAGAGCGATCGATGCTATTTCTGTAGGAGCCTGAATCCACCATTGCTTGCTCAAAGAACTGCCGTCTTCCAAGCCTAATCTCAACAGTTAGCCATAGGGTACGGGACATCGATATTGGAAGAGAGGGGGAAGCGTATTTGTAGATTGGCCCGTCCGGGATCCCCCTTACCGCCGGGCCTTCATGTTTCCCGCCTGCTGGGCACGATGAGGCTTAACAGGGCAATCTCTGGCAAAGTGACCAGGATGGCCACAGTAGAGGCATAAGTGACATTCACGGCGTCGGGCCCGTTCAGCCTCACTGAGATGGGGACGATTACTTATAGCTTGAACAGGCTGGTTTTCAGTTGGTGGACTCTCAGACACATTTTCCTCTTCAGAGGATGATGAATTGGAATCACCATTACCACTTGCCTTGTCTTCTAAGGTGACACACTGAATAATCACATCAGATAGGTTGCTGGCTGAACTTGTGCAAGATAGTTCTTTTTGAATAGAGCTGGCAAGCTCTTCCTGAAATTGGATGCAGAGCGTGCTTTCATCCAAATTTAATTCTTGAGCAATGAGGTGCAAGCTGCCCGAGTACCTGTGGGCAAGGCCTTGCCCTCGATGCAACTGAAAGAGGCCATGGTTAGCAATTTCCATGCTTTCTGGATTATCAAAGGTATCTTGGAGCCCTTGAAGGAATCTTTCAAATTGTTCCAGCAGGGGGCTTTGGCTATCTGTTAAGGGCTGGAGCCACATTCCTGCCTCACCTGAGAAGAAGCTACTGACAAAACTGACTAGTGCTGCTTCAGTGGGATACAGGTGCCCTCTAGCTCTCAGGTAACTGTTCAGCTGAACTAAAAACTCAGATAGTTTCTGAAAATCCCCGTTGGAAGCCAAAAGGTAATCTAGAGGCAAAGTTGCAGCCTCTAATTCACCATGAGCGTGTGCTGTTCCTGTTCCCACAACTATTAGGCCCTCCAGGGACTCTTCAGGTACTGAGAGTTCTAGGAACTCCTTGGCATCTGAGGGGTCCAGGGGCTCCTGGGGCACCCGAGGCTCCAGAAGCTCCTGGGTACCTGGATTCTCAAGGGGTCCCAACTGTGATGAGGTCTCCTGGTATTCTGGAACCTTCTGAGACTCCTCATCATCAGTAGGGCTGTAGAGCTGTGAATTCTGGAGCTCCTTGAGGCCTGGGGTACTGTGGTTGTCTGTGGGCCCTGTCTCACAGACTGCTGGGAGATCATAACCCCTTGGGAATGCCTGGGGCTTCTGGGTTGCTGAGGACTCCATAGCCTCCTTGATCTCCTGAGGTCCCTTGTATGCTGGAGGTTTCCAGGCTGAGAGCTCCTGGAGCTCTGCGGAATTGTGGGCCCCCTTGGCCTTTGAAGGATCTTGGAGACCCCAGGCTGCTGTGGAATCCAGGAGCTCTGAGGGCTCCCTGGACTCCTTGACCTCTGAAGGTTCCTGGGATCCCCAGTACTCCTTGAACTTTCGGGATGTGTGGGGTTCCTTGCTCTCTGGGAACCCCCTGAACTCTGTGATGACTGAAGGTCCCCCAGGCTCCTTGGTCTCTGGGGGCCCCTGGGTCTCTTTGATCTCTGGGAGTCCCATGAGCTCTCTGATGGCTGAGGGTTCTCTGGGCCCCTTGATCTTTGAGGGGCCCCTGGGCTCTCTGATGCCTGAGGGACCCCTAGGCTCTCTGGTAGCTGAAGGTGCTCTAGGCTCCTTGTTCTCTGTGGGACCCCTGGGCTCTGTGGTTGCTGGAGGTTCCCAGGGTTTTTGTGAGGCCCTGGCTGCTCGAGTTTCCAGTAGTTCTGGGAACTCTGAGGACTCTGGGGGCTCTTGGGTCTCTTGGACCTCTGAGGGCTTTCGGAATGGTTCATTCGCTTTGGCTGCTCCAGATTTCTGGAGCTCTGGTATCTGGGCCTGGAGGGCAGCATTTTCTTCCAGGAGCCTCTTCACTTGAGCCTGCAGAATTTCATTCTCCAATTTTAGAGCAACATAGGAAGCTGCTAAGTCCTCTACCATCTTTTGAGGAAACAGGCCTGGTTTGACAGTTTGCTACCAAGAGAAACTGGATGGCTGCTTGTGAGGTCTTTGCTGAACACAGCTCACAGGCAGATGTCAGGCTCTGTGACTTTTCCAAGGGGTGGGTATTTGGACCCAGCCAAGGCTGATTACCAAGAGGTCACTGGGATCCTCTGGAGCTCAGCACTTTGAGGTGTGGGACAAACTGTGAAAAGAGAGGGAGCTGAGCATCAGGGACTGTGGAAAGCACTCATTCAAAATAAATCACCAAAATCTGTCCAAATGTTCTGGGTTTCTCTTACCAGAAAAGCTCATGTTCAGAACAGGGATATATATACTTGCTCTGACCCCATGACATTTTACTAGTACATGCCCCAGACTGTACATGTCAATTTACATTTTTGGAAATTTAGCATTTTATCAGAAACAATTGCCCCATATTCCTTTGTTTTACATCTTTTTTTAATTTCTAGTGTCTGCCTAATATTTCTGTGTAACATTTGGATGTTAACAGCTGCTTTCAGTGACCAATTCAGATTTTTAGCATGATGTGGGGATTTTAGGTTCTGTGGTGGGGCCAACTCGAGACATTTTTGAGTGACTAGCATAGGAGTTGGGGGGGGGGAACTCTTTCTCACAACTGAGAAATAATACCACACAAGTAATCGCACACAACCAGACACAGGAGAAAGCAAGCAAAAGTAAAAATAAATAAACAAACACACATGCATATATATATATATCCATCAGACATGTACATATTATTTATAAAATACTTCGAAATAGTTAACAAAATATTCTTTACAGATTTACGTTACCATTTGGAGATGTAGGGCTGGAGATCTGCTGTCTGCGCAGCCATCACTGAGGAGCAGAGTGTGTGAATGGCTGTGGAAGCTTGCCTTTTCTGCACATACCGAACTCAAACAAACACACCCACTCCCAGAACGCGTTCCAACTCTCCTCTGTAACGTAGCTATTTTGAGTATGGAAGAGTGTTTTTTTTTTTTTTTTTCTTTTGACAGTACCTCACAGTCCAGAGCTAGAAGGAAAGTACGATGCTGTGCCGATGTGAAGCAGCTTCATGCACTCAGCCCTTGGTTACTTTAATAAATATTTGGCCAGGAAATTGGGAGTAATACCACTGCCCTTGTGAAAAGTTGCAAACATTTCTGAATGACCACAGTGGTTTTGGGACTTGAATTTTTTATGTCTGTCTCATGAAACTTACCCGTACTCTATCCACACTGGGACGTTTGTTTAATTCTCTTAGACAGCAAACTGCAGCTCCCTCAGTCCTTTCTCCTGCCTACCTACTGAGTACCAAGGGTCCCTCCTTGCAATATTTTCATAGAATCTTTTCCATGGACAGACAGATCTAGGCAACTTGTAATAGAGTAAAAATGCAGAAAAGGCAAGCTTTCAGCAACCTTGTAAAGCCCTTGGTGATCCTGAATATACTTGCCCAGGATTCTTCTGCCCCCTTGGGCTGTTCAGGTAGTTCCTGACAGCACACAGGTACCCTATTTTTACACAGTGATTCTATTTCAAATGTGACTACAAGAATCAGGAACAGTAATTGCAGTAATGAGTTATATAAGGTCACTTCCAATCACACACCAATTCAGCCATGGTCTCAAGACTCTTTTAAAAATCATCAACTCCACTTATTAGTAGACTGGCATAAATCCTGGGGGTGGAATAGACCTAGACCACAGCAAGTTGACTGATGAGGCTAACTGAACCTGAATGCAGAGACCTTAAGAAGGAAAGTGAAATCATTTGCATATTGAGTTTTTTTCTCTACCTATCTTGAAATTATTTTAAAAGTAAACTACACATTAAAATGACACAAATTTCAGAGAATTTATTCTATTTATGCAAAAATTTCATAACACTGAAGCATTCTTTCCCATTGAGAAGAATAAATCGCCATTGATAAAGCTATCATTGATTTTAAAAAGCCAGGGAGACATTATAGTTATGACATTTGTTTTATTTTCTTATCATTAGTAAGTGGACAATTTGAAACAGTTTAACCTGTTTCAATTGTCTGATTACTAAGGCTCTTTAAAGTGCTTTGCTCTTTAGCATCTTGGATTTTTCTTTATAGTCAGCACTTTTTGTTATTAAATAATCCACCACACCATTGCCTTTATGCCTGTCTACACTAAACTTATACAGATTTGGTGATTTTCTTAATCCTTCTAAAATGTAGAGTCCAAACTTTAGTTTATGCAACTGTGAAATGGAGCCAATAACAATATTTAACTTTATAGGGGTGGTGCAAATAATCAGTCAAAAAACAGGGAGTAGTGGTGTATACCTATAATCCAAACACCCAGGAGACAGATGCAGAAGTATCAGGAGTTCAAGGCCATTTTCAGCTACATAGTGAGTTCTACACCAATTTGGGCTATGTGAGAGTCAACAACAACAACAACAACAACAACACACACACACACAAACACATACCAACAAACAATAAATGAATAAAATAATATATGTAAAAATGCTTTTCAGAGTATGACAGATAATCACATGTAATAAATGTTAAGAGCAATAATAATCCCTGTAACAGCAGCAACAATTTTAATTTATTCTTTCTAATATCTTTGAATTATGGAATTGGATAGGTAAACTCTCCAGAATTGTTTGAGCAAGAACTCTCATATGAAGAAATCTACAGCACATGGATTTTACAGCATTAATTTTTCATCACTCTGGAGCCTTTATCTTTCCTTCCTGCTTGGGTCATGGATCATTTACTTTGCCAAATAATTCTCTTGAATTAGAACTGGAGGCACCTAACTAGGAAAATGAGGTGATTAACATGGGGATGGTGGAGCAGCCAAAATAGATATTTAAAAAGTCCATGGACTAAAGCACCAAACAGTGCTTTGCCTAGAGGCATATTTATTCAGTGGGTAAACACAGGGACCTTTCTTCCCTGACTCCCCTTCACTAAAGAGCAAAGACCAAATTTCAACGTCCTTAAGTACAAGTTCCAAACTGCCTAAACATGGAGAATTTTTTTCTTTTGAGTGGTTAAAAAAAGAGCTATACTGACTTTTGTCAAAATGCCTAAAGTGGTTTTAATATCCTGAATTAGTCAAGTAAGAATAGGAAAGTAAGAATAGAGAAGTAATCACATCCAAACATTCATCATGTTCTCCTACACTTTAATCCTTCTTTTTACAAACATGACAGAGTTTATGGAGTCTTTAGGGTAGTTAGGAAAACATTTTTAAGTAAGTGATGTTTTGTTAACTAGGTAAATGAATGTTTCAGGAAAAAGAAGACAAATCTGTTCATTTAACAGACATACAAAGCCTGCACAGAAATGTTCATGTTCAGTTATGTTAATAAGTTGCATACGTTGATTGTCAGCTCAGGAAAAAAGAGAAGGGAAAGTTTGAATGAGATGAAGTTCGACTTTGTTCATTACAGTACGAAGTGTGATCTTATTTTGTTGGCAAATGCACAATCTGAAATATTTTAGACCCCTGCCAGGCTTTGTCCTTCTGCAGCTTTAAGCAGCTCAAGTCCCTGCTTTTCTCTCTATTAACCCTGCATAGAACCAACAGGGCAGGTTACCTCACAGGTCTCTGGCACAATGCCCAGCTCCCTCTTGGGTGCAGTCCCACCCCTGGTGTCTGTTGTGTTTAACATGCAATTCCTATGGTTATATTAGAGCTTACAGCATTTTTCTTAAATTTAACCCTTCATGTGCTTAGGACAGATTAAAGCCTTTTGAATGTCAGCAACACACCATGATATATTAAGACAGTGTTAATCACTGATTCATTTGCTGTCGAAAAGCCAGGGAAGAATTTCTCCTTTAATATGACAAGGATTCTGAGCAGGCACTCATAGGGTTGAAACAGGTTCCATCTCAGGAATGCTCTGCGGCAGTGAAATTTTGTTGTATTCATGTCTCTTTTAGTGATATTCACCACCTTCTCATTTTATTTCTAGCCACGCACCTAAGAAACCTTTTCTTCTGATCAGATGCCACATGTGGGAGACCCTACTGCATAAAGATTTAAAGGAAAATTTCTTGGGGTTTTGGCATTTTTTTTGTAGTGTATTTTGAAAGAATGGGAACTGTTGGAAATCTTTCTTGTTAGGAAAGCTATTGTAGGATAAAAAGAGCATCATAAAAGGCATGTGTACAAGCACCACTAAATGGACTCATCAGGCTGTATTTATGTATATGTAAAAATAATCAAAGAAAAAGAGACCATGAATCTGAAAGGGAGTAAAGAGAAAAACATGGGAAGAGGGTTAGAGGGAGAAAAGGGGAGATAATTTAACTATTTCAGTTAAACTTCGAGAAAGAAGATGGTTATAGTATAGCATCTAGCATTAGTTAACATATTTGCCTTATGATTTTAGTGGAAAGGCTTCACTGAACTCTGGTGATGATGCAGCATATCAGGGGTACAGTAAGACTTTTTATAAGCCCACTCTTGAAGGAGCCTGCACAATGAGGGTCTGACCTTATCCTCTATTTGCTGCCATCTTCTCTCTGCTGTCTTTTAATATTGGTTCTCCCAGCAAGTAAACCAAGTCCATGCAAGGCCAAAGAGAAAAGGAAGTGAAAAGAGAGGCAGGAAAGAGAAGAAGGTGGTGGGTATAGGAATGGGCACGGAAAGGGGGTCTGGAAAAAAAGGGGAAGGGAGAAGAAAAGAAAAGGAGAAGGAAAGTTTAAAAACAATCTTAAAATCCAACAAATGTATATTTTTGTTACTTAAAGACAAAAACTTTAATTTTGCAGTTTCTTATTTTCTAAATTATATAAAAGGAGACAGTTTTTCAGTGGTTAGCCTCGCATGCAAAGATCTTAGTCAGGCCATGGGTGTTGTATTTTAGCTACAGCTTTGCAAAGTGTTGAAAAAGAGGTGATAGACTTTCAATTTGGCTGGAGAAAGAAGTGGCTATTTAAGGGTGGAAGATACAGGAGTAAGTGGGTACTGAGAAATATACCCAGCTCTTCC